TCCTCATAACCCCGTCTGAGTCCCTCCCCCTGTTGCCTACTCTATTGGTATTTCCTAAGTACTCATTATACAAAGTCCAGAAGCTAAACCACTGCAGTAGCATCCCAGCTGGCACCCAGCCTTCTCATTCCTCTTGTGGAATCCATCAACACAGCACTCACTTGCAAACTATATGCTGCTCTGCTCTAAAAATTCTTCAACAACTCCCCATTGTCTACTAAATAAGACTTAATATCTTCAGGGTGGCATTCGAGACCCTCTGGAATTAATTTCCAACTGCTCTTAAGCTTAACCCCATTATTTTTCCATATAAATCTCCCACTGGTACTAAAATAGCTTTGCATTATCCCCCAAAACATGCCTATGCTTCCCCCCATCTTTTCCTTTGGTCACTATTTCCACTTTACATAGAATGCCTCCTTCCACCCCACAGGCTTATACACAACATTTTTTCCAGTAGTTTCCCATAGTTAAAGCTAGCACTCTGTCACACACGCACACACACACACACACACACACACACACACACACTCTGTGTGTAACACTTAAGTGATATTTATCACACAATATCTCACTTTGTAGACATTTTCATCTCTGCATCGCCTTCCTAAATGTACATTGAAGGATAGGACCAAGTCTGAAGTATCTTTGTACCTCCTAAGTTACTAAGTATGATACTAGCAAATGAGGGTGGGATTAATGAAAAGTGAATAAGCCGGTAATACATTTCTTGAGCCACATAATTGTACTGAATATGGTTGAGCCTGGAGTCAAGTGGAGTTGAGAATTAATGAGGGGTGAAGGGAGAGCAGTTTCTTTTTTCTACAGCTCTAATTTCTACAAAATCAAAGAAGAGAATCAGGCCAGAGTCTTAAGAGCAACAGCACCTATTCTTAAAGAGCTATCTGTTTCTAAACTGGGCTATGTGTGCACCAGATATCTGAATGATGGCACAGTCTAAGAAATAATCATAAATGTTATTTTTTTATTATTCTAAATACCTGTTTTAATGTAGCTGAAGTTCACAAGAGGATCTCTCTATCAAAATGTCTTCCTCATCGACTGTTTCACCATAATCCACGTGTCAGTCTAACTGTCTGAACTGGAAAACAGCTCCTGGGCAGCCTGGTCTGCTGAGTGAGCAGCTGGCCTGCCCTTACTCCCTGTAGCTCCAGATCCTTCCAATGAATGGTCATTACTTCCACCCCCAGAACCCCCTAGCTGTGAGGCAGTCCACCTAGCAAATGGCTGAAGGACAAGGATGCCAGAGCCAAGGAAAGCGTGGTATTTGCAACTGCTTTTAAACTTTTCCACAAAGTGCCTTGATTGCATTCTATTTTTACTTTTATTAAAAGGCTGCTGAGCTAGTGACCAAATGTAGGAAAAGAAGTATCCGGTCATTTCCTGACGTGACCAAGCAGTCAAATCCCACCAGGATTTGTCTGTCCTGGCCTCCATGTATAGACGACAGGACCAGGACCCCCAATGTTTTTCAGGGCATAGACATGAGGAGAAGCCAGGAAAGCGATGTCAGCAGGTAGGATGTGGGCCATGCATGGGAAGAAAATGCCAGCACTCTCTGAAGCAGGAAAGCTGCAGCCTGGCCACCTGCTAGGAAGGAGCCTCACCCAACATATTTGCTGTAGCCAAAACTGAACATTTGCCTCCACATTCTGTTTGCTCCATTCCTCACTGTTCCCTCTGCTCCTTCTTTTGATTACAAAGACTGATCCAGACTGTGTGGGGAGCAGTAGAGGACAGATGTCAGTGAGACTTCAGAACTGAGGTCCTGGGGGCAAATGTCAAGTTAGAGAGTAAGTACGTATTAAGTACTTATTGTTAGCCCACTGCAGCTAATACCTGGGGAGGTAAATTCTCCTAAAAATGGAAAGTCTGCTCTAGCCTGCCCTGCATGTTTATATCATCTCTTTAAAGAAAGATCTATACATATATTTACCAGAGAACCCAACAGAAAAGGGTATGATCGACTGTTCAAAGATCTCTGTGTATAGACCACACAGAGCATGGAATCCAGAACCTAGCAAACAACAGTTTGCTAAAATACATAACCAGGATACTGGGTGTCCCAACACCAACTCTCGTGACTTCCAATTTTAGTACCTGGAAAATAAAATTTATTCCTGAACTAGCAACAGTGAGTAGATAGTCCCAAGGGAGCTATTACACAGACTCTGGTGAGCCCCTCCTTCTAATACTTCTTAGAAATTCTGGTTCCTGCCCTCAAGGAATCTGGCATGTACGTGAAGAAGAAAATACACGTTCACACTCAGATTCATCAGAGCAGAAGAAAGCATAAATTGATTTGTGGCCTTCCAGGGTCTCCTTAAACAAAGATAAATCACAAGGTTGGAGGTTGTTTTTGAAGTCTCTTTTCTGTTTACTTTCAGTCCTTGCAGAGAGTCTCATTTTTTTGTTGACAAGATTCTTTCGACTGTGGTCAAAATGAGCATTATCCTGTGAGAAGTACATTATGTGATGTATAACACCCATTCTTAGTGTGAATGGTTTATCAGCTCCTGTCTTTGTTCTGAAATGAACAGAAGCCCAGTTCCCTTATCAAAACAAATTCATGAAAATGTGTTGTTTCTGGTTCTGAGCCCTATGGAATAGCAGCCGAGTGACATAAAACACAAGAAAGGAAGGGAATGGTGTAGCGGTTTTGGGAGAACTGGACCTGCCCCTACACGCCTCGCAGAGCTGGGAAGGGGCTGGTGGCCTCGCAGAGGTGGGAAATGCTGGATGAGATGGGACAAGTCACTGCCTCTTCCTCCCTCCTGTCCTCCTGGGGCTCTCAGGGAAAGCAGAAAGTCTTGCAATTTTAAGTCAAAAAGTCAGCTTGGTTTTATTGTTAGTGTCGATTTGCAATGCTGTCTTTGGGTGTAAGATTTGAGAAGTATAAAATGCACCATGCAAACATGTTGTCCCTAAAACTTAGTCCCTGAAATGAGACCAAGCTAAGCTGGGGTTTGGTGGTTACTTCTCTGCCAAGGAAGTGGCTTCACTGTGCAACTGGTCACAGTACGCATGTGCACCCAGTATGCCTGAGCATCATGATTATCCCCTGTGGCTGAGATGCTGTTAAATGGAAATAAGTTGGGGACATGCCCCCCCCCC